CATGCATGCATAGATGTTCTCAAAGGGTCAGGTGTGAGTGCATGCATACATAGATGTTCTCAAAGGATCAAGTGTGAATGCATGTATACATATATGTTTCCAAAGGATCAAGTCCTACCTATGCTGAGTGCTGTGCTTGATATGAATATTACTATGCCGAGTCCATGTTACCAAAAGGCCACCCAAGGATGAGAGAAACAGCCAGCCATCATAGGAGTTGGCACAATCGCAGTAAAAATTAATGCTACAGGGCTCTCAAAGGAGAGTCCATGCATGGAGGTGTCAGAGGAGACCTTGCAGAGGGGAGTGGAGGGTTAGGTAAGGTAACCCTATTTATTACTTAAGCCTCAAGTCTTTCCATTCACCTCGTCTGTTAGTAGGACAGCCTTGGTGCTGTAACAGTATATAGGGAGTTATAGCAGAAACCCACTTCACACATGCACACAGCATTGGTGGGGAATTCTGTCACAAGGAAAGCATTTTGAACAGAACCATTTGGAAATGCCCATTCTCCCAATACTGGGTTCCACCAGATCTAGTGGGTTCCCCAGCCCTGTAGCAGCAATACCTTCACATAACTAAGCAGGCAAACCCATGGGAAGGAAGTAACTGCAGACAGCCTGCTTGGAGACTCTGGGAATTTCAACAAATGAAAGGGGGCCAGTTCTGACACTCACTAGGAAGAGGACTTACAGAGGAACAACAGGTTCTCCTCACTGACAACCCAAAAGGAATTATGTATGAGCACCGTGCACGCTTCTCCAGCACTCTAGGGTTCTTCCTAGATGGGAACTATTAGGTCACCATCCCCTGGGTCTTCTGCTTTGCAAAGGAATCAGTGGGGCAGCAGGAGCTACCAAGAGCCATTTCCCTGAATCATGCTCTGGATGTGCCCACCATCACCAAGGCAACCTACCGAGTCGTGGCCATCCTGAAGTTCTGCAGACTTAACAGTGTGACTGGAGTGGAAGGCTCCTTTCCAGAAGGACACACAAAGCAGGGAGTGTTTGTGGAACAGGAGGATGTAAGGCATGAGGCATGCGCAGGAAAGACTAACAGGAGCATGTTGGATGGAGCGTGTTAGATTTGTCCTGCCAGTGAGTCTGCCTGGCTTTCTTTGTAGCAATTTGGAGGCCTCGAGGTAGGGGCAGGTGTGACAAGCGCCAAGGCCGTAGGAATATCATAAAAGTGTTGAGCGGTTTCTGTGCAATGTGCTGCACGTCATAAAAGGAGCTTCTTAGAAAGACAAATGTGAAACAGCTTCTCTTCAGATGACTGTAGGCTTTGAAGATTCTGGCACATTCCAGCTTTGTTCTCAGGTATCTCCAGGGGGCACTAAAAATGTCATCTTACATAAAAAGTATGTATACTACTTTTCTCTAGTACCACTTTTGAAATACTCCATGGATCAAGTCTGGATCCATAGACTGGATCTGGACGAGCAATGGGCCATGGTCTTAGAAACATGCATAATTTCCTAAGAAGCTGCATGGTTTTAAGCACATGCTATAAATGCATTATTGTAGGATTCTTAAATCTAGGGCCTTGTGAACATAATTATTGAATAATACTGTAAAATCAAAAAATAATTTTGCAAATCTAATAAAACATAATGGTCATGCTCTTTAGTTAACTCACTATATGACTTTCACGCCCAAGTAGGTTTATTAAATTGCTGTTTTCCCATCTACTTCTCAAAAACTTAAAAACAAATAATTACACTTATGTGTGTGTGCGCGCACACACACACATGTTTGAGTATGTGTGTGTGCACTTGTGGGGAGGTCAAAGGCAAACGTGTGGTCATTGATTCTCTGCTGCTAGCATCCGAGTTCAGGGATCAACCTCAGACTG